TATACTGTATGTATATATATATATATATATATATATATATATAAATGAGAACATCAAACAACAAACTGTACAAACTGGCAACATCACATTAGCACTACTTAATGCTCTGATATTGCTTCTGCAGTGGTACTAGACACTTGATCCAAAACTCTGGAACATTTCATAGTTGGACGAAGAAAAATTAATCGACCAAAAAAACAACAACACTGCTTTGTTGTCAGGCAAATGTATAACTGGTTTGAATCACTCAATACAAATACATTGTTCCTATTCAAAATTTTCCCATGTAACATGTTTGGTATGAAAGGGCCTTTATGCTTATCAAACTAATATGACTCTTTAAACAACATCATCAAAATTTCCCACACAATTATATTCACACCAGAAAACCACATATTGCAAGAAAATTGTCTTGACACTAAACACATACCCACTTCACAGTGTTTCCCTGTGAAATGGTAGGGACAGTCACATCGGTAGCTGTCAGCTTCTTCTTTGCAAGAGCCTCCATTACGACAGGGACTAGAGGCACAGATACGTAATCTGACTGAGGAAGAAAAAAAAGAGGAAGAATGCTGTATGTACCAGCAAGTAGGCAAAATTACTTCTGCAAAACGGATATGTGGTGCATTAAAGGCACAATATGTAAGTTTTCACCGCTAGAGGGCGTGTATTCAAAACAAACAAAGAAACAAAGGCGTAGTTTGATGATGCCGTGACTGAGTGCGGAATCATGCGAGTTGTCGTCTTCATCCCCACAGCCGATGCAATCCGATGGGACTCGGGCAGAAATCATGTTCATGGATGAGTTAATGATTTATTAACATTGTAGTATGAAGCAGAGTGAGGCTCAAAGCCGTCGAAACGAAACAAGGCCGCTGAACGAGCGCGACACACGGCTCGAAAGCAGCGGAGCTTTTATTATGCCACACTTTAGCGCTTCCGCTCCTTCTGGTCGTGAGTATGTGGGGTAAAGCAGCACTGTTTTATCATACTAGATACGTTTGAAAGTTCTGTTATAATGCTACTCTGTGCGGTCGTCACCGGTCTAATAAAACGCATAACATATTAAGTCTTTGGTGTTTCCATGTTTTCTACAAAACAACCGGAAATCGAGGGTGTATGACGTCATTGGCAGGCGACACAATGACACTATGGCAACGGCCTGTGTCACTAGTTAAAATTGCTTATTTCTCTGGATTTAAACATTCTTCGAAACATTTGGGATAATGTAAGTACACAAGTCAGCAAAATATATAACACTGTTCTAGTGGTTTTTGGATATTTTAATAAAAAAATCTTACATATTGTGCCTTTAAACAACATGATGCACAATGATTGAACTTCTGTGGATGTGACTACCTTTTAATATGTAAGCATGCAAGGACAAAATGTTAACACGGATAGCAGATGTAACATACCTCTTTCGCAATGCTTTCCTCTGTAGCCATGCTTGCACTCACAAATGTAGCCTCCGTCTCTCTCATAGCAATACCCTCCATTCTGACACGGTGAGGAATCGCAGGCTGATCGGGGCTGTACTGAAAAACACACACACCTTCACCTTCACCACGTTCCTTCACAGCAGGTGATCGTCTTTTAACATTCACTAGTAACTTTTATTTGAGTGTGTTGGAATGATTTCATTTAAATGCACACCATAGCATAGATCCTCTGTGCATTTCAATAGCCAAGTTGAAACATTATCTTCACATTGTCAGCATACAAATAAATCTTTCTTTTCTCATTTACTCAATATAACGCCTTAGTTGCTTTGAGGACCTTTGCCATCCTTACGACCTGGCACAGTATTTGTTCATTTGTCATGGAAACCATGCTTAGCACATGGCTTCAAGGTTCTCCAGGGCTCTTACCATATGGGTAGAAGTCCTTGTGATCAAAGTCAACAGCAGTTTGGCAGGTGCAGAGGTACGTGCCACCATACTCTAAGCATGGACCTCCATCCGGACACGGTCTGTTGTTACTACAGGGGGTTTGTGTTACTTCTAAAGAGTAAAACAAAATATTACAGATATTAATTGTTATACAAATATGTGTGCAGTACTACTACTTTTGAAATATTTTTGTTGAATAAAAGGTTCAGATCCACACTCTTCAGATGGATACAGTTTTCTCTGGTAATCAATAAAGCATGTACCTTTTGACTGACAGACACTTTTAGTATTTTTCCATCATGAGGCCAAATGGTTCTCAATTTGGTGAATTTTCAAAAATACATAATTTAGTACGGTATAATTACAAACTGTTCCACGGTTAGCTAACTGTACATAGGAAAGAGAAACCACGCTTTAGTGGTGGGACAGCTTTGGTGATGGAACAATTCCTCAATAGTCACTTGTCAATTACTTGTGTTTAACGGATATGTAACTGACATGTAAGGCTAAGTGTTTGGACTGAAGATGAAAAAGCACTTCCTGAATTTGGAACACGTATCTTTTCTACCAACATTTCAAGTAACCTTTAAAGAGTAGAAACAAGAGAAGCTGTTTTATCAGAAATCATAAATTAGCATTATTGTCCTAAAAACACACTGCATATAAAAATGGACATCCCATACAGTACCTTTAGTTTAATAAAGTCTTTGGAAAAAAAGAAAATCTGTATTTGTTTGCAGTTAATACATACCAAACTGACAGTAGAGTCCAGTGAAGCCTGTTGGACAGTCACAGGTGCCATTGACATCAACACAAACCCCTCCATTCTGACAGGGACACTCCTCTGTAGGGATTTAGGTGTGATGTAAAGAGAGGAGAAAGAGACAGATAAAGAGACACTTTTGAAAGGAGGTCAGCATAGTTTTCACTTTTCTGGATAAGAAAACATTCAAACCACTGTAAAATGTTACTCTTACTTCACATCAGTCAAACTGGAACAAAGTGTAAATTCAGTGGAAGCATGTGTGGGAATGTTACATTGTGTGAGTTTGTGTGTGTGTGTGCGTAGTTTAGCATAGTATTCTGTGGTGGGATTTGTTGTACTGTTGTACTTTATAAACTTGTTCCTTGGGTCAGTCTTTCCCACAATTTTCCCACACAGTTCAGTGTTCTGGATGACTGTAAGTCAGTATTCTGTAACACTTTCTGTTTGGTAAGATTTTTATTTTTCGCTTCCCTCAGTAATTGCAACAATGGATCAAAGCAACTTGCTGTATCACTGTTAAATGAATTCCTTTTGAAGTCCAGGAGCCTTGCATGAGGGTGTTATTTTTTAGTTTATTTATTTATTTTTGATAAATTGATAATATGTAACATGTTTTCGATCAAATTGTGTGACTCAGGGGCAATTAATAGGTTGCTAATTCGCTGGAGCCATTTTCATTTGTTGTTTCGTAAGGTCGGTGGTCTCTTTGATCTCAGTGCCCCATTAGACACTCCTAGGCTATGCCTGTGAGCTTCTACCTTCTCTTTTTGAGAGGTCTGCATGACTTTTTCCACTACACATTCCAAGTGAGCCAGGCAGTAAGGTATTCCGGAGATTTAGGAGAGTCTATATAAGAGTCAATGGTTATTTCAGCTCCAGGTGGAAGAATAGGATGAATTTGTTATAGCTCACAATGTGCTTTTAAATCTATAGGGGCACAAAGTGTTTAGTGTACACAGTGACCCAGGGAGCAGGGATATCGCGCTGACTGAATTGAATAAATAAGATAAAGCAGAATATGAGGATGTTGTACCTCATATCATCAGTCTTTGGAGATTTGTGGTTGGATGTTAGAGTGTCCAAACAAATCTCACCTGCTTTGTTGCAGGGAAGTGAATTCCAAACATTTGGACTGTCTCATAAAACAGAGGCCTTTAAAGTCTAGACAAGAGCCCTTCCTCTTGTTGGTAAAGTAGTAAAAAAGTGCCATAAAACAATTATTTACAACATCAAGCAACTTGCTGCAAGGTCTGAGCAGTAAACTGGGTGAGGTTGTGTAGGTTTGAATAATTATGCTCATCCATCACGACTGCATAGTCTTCCTCAGGCAGTGCTTCAAATTCCTGTGGGATAGTGGTGTCTGCCTTTTCTCCTCTGTGCCATGTTCCTGCCCAATTACTTGAGGAGAGTAGATACTATGCATTAAAGGGGTCATGAATTGAGAAATCAACTTTTACTTGAGCTTTTGATCTATAAGAGGTCATCGTACTAAAAGAATATCCTGTAAGTTTCAGAACTGAAAACGTCCTTGTTACTGAAATAAAAGCTTCACTTGGTTTTAGCCTGAGTTTTTGTTGCATTTACACACTTTTGACCAGCAGGCGTCACCAGCGTGTGGTGTTTCGAGGGCTTCAAAACAGTGAATCATTTTGCGAAGCAATTGGTTCAATTTATTCGAAGCTTCGAAAAGGTTAGTTTCTCCCATCACTAGTGCATAGCAAATAAAAGCAAAATAGAGAACTAGGTCTACAAAAATCATTCGAAAGACTTGCCAAAATCAGCAAAAAGACACAAACATTAAAGGGGTCATGAAATGAGAAATCAACTTTTACGTGATCTTTTGATATATAAGAGGTCATCGTACTAAAAGAATATCCTGTAAGTTTCAGAACTGAAAACGTCCTTGTTACTGAAATAAAAGCTTTTATTGACACCAGGCCTAGCGAACGCCAGATCCTGGAATGTGCCTACCTATGACGTAATAGATGGGTTAAACTCCGCCTCCACAGAAGAATATCAACGCCTAATTCTGTAGCCCCACCCACTGATTCGCCCACTGTTGTGGAAGAACACAGTCACTGCATAACCTTCCTTCGGATTCAAATATTAGGAATGCATGGTTGAACTTTATTTTTAATGAAGTTTCAGCTCACGCGAGTAAAACATTGAGCGTTTGTTCTGAAGGCTCAGAAGGCTCCAACTATGAAGGATGTAGCTTGTCAAACAGACACACAGAAAGTTAGTTTACTATGCAAAACTATTATCCAATCATAGCAGTGGCCGTTTACTTCCAAGTCTTCAATGCGGCACGCCCATAAAACGGCCTCAAAACCAGGGTAGAAAATAGCCTATTGCTTATCGATTTTGATGTTTTTGAATGTAAAAACCATGCAAACATCATAAGTGAACCTCAGACAAAAGTATAAAATAATTAAAAAAGCCAGTTCATGACCCCTTTAAAGTCAGAGAGTACTGTACCTTCACAATCGTCACCGTAGTAACCTGGGGTGCAGGTGCAGTTGTAGTTTCCAGAGCCAATGTACTCGCAGATTTGATGCTTTTCACAACTCTCTCCATCGCAGGGAACTGTAAGTGAAATATTACGTGCAGTATGTGTGATGATGTTTTAAGAATAAGAAAGGGAGGTAAAGCTTAGCAGGAACTTGAAGAACATTTACATTGCTGTCTGATTTGCAGCATCAGTAATAGAGGAATTTTCCATGACAACTAACTCTGTTTTAGGGTAAAATAAAACATTTTATAGTATATTCTGTAGGTATTACTTGGGCAGCAATGATCCAATACGTTAAAAAAAATGAATAAGTGATATATCTTAAATGAAATTAAGGCAAACCCATGAAACTGCAACCAAATCACATTGAAAAATAAAAATTCTTAAGAGGTTGGTCAAGCCACTTCAACCTCAGACAAGAGTTGACCAAGCATCTGATAACTATGCTGACATTATTTGCAAAGAAATCAGTTCAATTAATCAGACATGTCATCTGAAACCATAGTTAGACAACTTTTTAAGAAGAGCATTGGACATTGGAGAAATGCAAGCTTCTTATTGATACTGGAGTGAAGTTTTCTTTTCATGAGCAGACAAGAGTTGACCAGGCATCAAATAACTATGAGATGAGGCTGACATTATTTGCAGTTCAATTAGTCAGACGTGGTCTGAAGCCATAGTTATCTCAGTGTTCCCTCTTCTTTATTCATTTTTCAATTTCTTTGTGTCAGTCCCAGTTGGAAAGTGTTACAGCTAGTCAAATATAAACATCTTCTATTATTAAAATTTTTTCCCATTGCAAAGGGAAACAAAAACAAAGACTGGATAATGTGTTGGCTGGCATTTATAGTGATATGGTGGGTTGAACTCAAGAGTAAAAGCACACCTGTCTCACAGTGGCTTCCAGTGAAGTTTGCTGTACAGGTGCAGGTGTAGTTATTCACCAGGTCTTCACACACACCTCCATTCAAACATGGCATGGATGCACATTCATTGATATCTGGATTCCAAAACACAAGATTCATGTCAGTGTAGAGAGTAATTTGTCAGAAATTTGACAAAATTTCAGAAAATTGTGAGAAAGGCAATCCTTAGAGCAGCTTGATTTAGATTCTATCAATATCTTAAGATGTGAGGATGTATGAAATTTCATGCAAGTGTATGGTTTCATGGACCGGGTGTCTAGTATTAACAGTAATCTGGTCTCATGTTGAAACAAGGGTTCAATATATGCAAAGACCAGCGGTTAGTTTCCAGAGATCTTCCCAACTGGGCTTGCATTTCATCAGTAACCTCCATTGTGGGAAGCCCAATTTGTTAAGCACAGGAATCATGTCAGTGCTTTTTCCTAAAAGATATTTAAAAGTAATATCTCTGCTCAGAGAACTCTGAATATTTGGAACAAAAAACTTGACCCAAAATGAAAACACAGGGAAATAAATCAAAGTAACTGCTAATATATTTCCATTTACTAGCTGCCCTTAAAAGTATTGTACTATAGCAGTCTTCATGAAGTCAGTCTAGATAACACCATCTGTCAAATGAATAAGTGTGGGCCTAATGCGAAAAAAAGGAAATGTTCCCTGGAGAAAGTCATGGCCTTTCAGTGACACTCCCAATTTCCATACTCACCTGACTCGCATAGGAACCCAATGTAACCTGCTTGGCATACGCAGGTGAAGTTGCCGACACCCTGTATGCACTGTGCTCCATTGAGGCATGGGGTCTCTTGGCACTCATCTATGTCTGCAGGCAATAAACACACACACACACTGTATATTTATTCAGCTGATTAATATATCCTCCACACCATTCCCCTCACTCTGAAACTATGCACTTCTGGCTGTGAAAGGTATTAGAGGTTTGATACATCTCTGCAGGCTGGACTGTGGGAACGAGAAGGATGTTGAAGCCAGCAGAGTGCTAAGAGAGGAGGGGAGGACAAAATCAGTGAGGAGAGAGGCCACAGCACGAAAAGAAGAGCTTACTGAGTTCAAAACTCACATCCATTTTCACTCGCTCATTGGACAAATTTTTGAGAAAAAACCCACATTGGACCTTGTAGAAGTGCAAGCTTCTTATTGATATTGGAGCAATTGTTTTCTTTTCCTGAGCTTACATACAATGCATAATTGAAATTGGAGTCCGATAATTGAAGAATCTGGTATTTACCTGTCTCACATGTTGTCCCTATGAATCCCACTGGACACAGGCAGATGAAGTGGTTGATCTTGTCCACACATGTGCCTCCATTCTGACAGGGGTATGATGAGCACTCATCAACTTCTATCAAAACACACAAAAGAACAACTAATATGACATGTGACTTTTATTAGATGTGCACACATGGCTGAAAACATGAGGGAATCCTAAAGTGCATGGGGTGGAGGAAAAGGTAATGATTTGACCACAGCAAAACATTGGATGGACTCTACTGTATGCGTATTACATACAGATGTGACCAGGGGAAATTCTCTCCCTTAGGTTGTCCCCCTGGCTTGCAGGGTGGAATTCTGCTTTTACAAGCTGACTTTCTCTTTCCTGGCGAGGACGAACACAGAGGATGAGTACGGGTTGTGAGGGATGGAAGGATTTCATCATTGGTTTACCTATCTGGCACCTGCGTCCAGTGAAGCCAGCCAAACACGAGCAAGTGAAAGAGGGATTTCCAGTGATGCAGTCATCAATGCAACGGCCACCATTTTGACAGGGCCTTAAGTTAGCACAGACCGACGCTGAGGAGGACAATGGAAAAGAGTCTGAGCAGACTAATATTTTCCTATTTGTACTGTCCATAATGTTTTCTAATTTGTTGGATACGCTGATTCTTTTTTTCCTTTCCTTTGGTGGTGTACCTGAGTCATTGCAGCTGCCCACTTGCACCTGAGAATCATCAATACGAAAGGCCCATCGACCAGGATAGCCCACATTTGTGGTGGTTTCAACTTCAACAATATCATCTGTCCGAGAGCCTGGGATGTTGAAATAGCGCCTCCCATCGCCAGCATTAAAACCTGCCTAGGAAGAGAGTGAAAGTGGGGGAGCGTTCTCTCAGAGTGGATTCTTTCACATTTTTATGTCACTGAAGTCATTTCAGTCAAAACTAAAAACCAACGTGAGTAAAGGCAATGACCTTACCTGTGCAGCTATGCCCCCCAAGCCTGCTAGGTCACCACCACTGGTGGCATGCATCCCTGTTGTCCAAGAAATATTGTGGTACTGGAAAATGGTGAAGGAGAGCTCACCATCTGTGATGAGAACTAATTGAAATGTATTGACCTTTAGAGAAGAGCAGAGAACAAGTCAATTGCCACAACCAGTATTCATAATTTTAATTTACTTGTTAGATCAGAAATTCTCAACATTGGCCCTTGAGGTCCACTGACCTTCAGAGTTTAATTTTGATCAAGGATAAACTCTGCTAGACAGTGGACCTTGAGGGCCAGACCTGAGAAACCCTGTGTTAAAAGGAAACATAATAAAAATGCCATTGGTTTTGTTAGTTTAAAGGACATGAACTTGGTACCGGAGTTATTGAGCTGCCACCAAAAAATGTGACTTGATGCCAGGTAGCAATCAGCACCCATGTAGTGACAAACATAGGGAACTCAGGGAAGTAATGATTAATGTCTGCAGTGGCTCTTCTCAGGATGGCAGGATCTTTGCTTTCTCGATAGAAAACTTTTCCTGCCCGTCGGTTGTCTACATCTGCCCAGAATGGAGCCACCACCCTGCGGTCTCCAGCAATAGGGAAAGCCACTGGGGTGAACTGGGACACCTCCCTCAGGAAAGACACCAGGCCGTTGTTGTTGACCTTGAAGATACAGAAAAGAAGAGCAAGTACATGTGCAGGGTTAGCAGAGTCAGGACACAAAGCTTCCCTTCAGCACACCTTCCTGGCACTCATTCCCAGATTCCACTGCTGAAGCTTAACCACACCATGAGCTGCATGTTTGGACATTCACTTTCTGAGTTGCACAAATAACATATTTCATCTCCATGCAATTCTTTCCACACTCAAGTATACCTGATGACAGAGACTGGGTTGGTTCACTCAGGAGTAATGCAGAGTCAAGAAGTTGTAGACCAACAAAAATCAAATTATTTTATAAGAACTTTAGCACAATTCAGTTTCTTGTAGTGACTCTTGTAGTAGATATTGCGAATGGCCTGGAACAGTAATCGGATGGCTATGATGTATGAAACATGCTGACTGGGAATAAGCGGAAACAGGCTGAGGTGTCCAGCAGTATGTTGACACATGAGAGTGAGCAGTAGCATTGCAGGATGAAAGAGTGAGGTAGGCTCCTGTGGCAGATGTATCTATTTCCCATCAGGGAACAGACAGCTGCCTTGTTCTGCCAGACATCCATGTCTTACAGCTGAGAAAACCGGAGCACTTTACAGACACACATACGCATTCTGACACACCTGCCCTGGCTCTTGTCCACTAGAAGTGGTTTTAGAGGGCGAGGCCTTTATAACTGCCTCTAAAGTAACCACAGAGCCCAACACTTGATTTGCTGACCACTGGCTTTGCTCTGTTGACTGAGTCTACTCTTGTGATGAATTTCCAGCCAGACTGATGTAGAAGAAACCTTAGAGTATTCACAGGGGCACAGTGTTATCCAACTGATATGACAGGCCAACAGGGGTGTGTGAAATTATTCCATAGCTTTCTGCTTCATTATTTAAGTGTAGGTTTTGCAACAAACTTTCCTCAATAGTTCTTCTGTGGACAGACTGGAAATTAGAAACCCTTTCTAAACTGTGACTCATCCAAACGGAGTTTTATTAGAAAAATACTATCAATCACCTCTCTGCCCCATATCAGATTGTCACAGCACAGAGCAACAATGAGAGAGTGTGTCTAATGCTAACTTATGCTAGTCAGTTTGCACCTGCACAGTCACACCCCTCTCCAGGTGTTCGCTCCCCAGTGCCAACTTCCCTGTCCCATCATTTCACTCATCTATACCCAGTTCTGGCAGCAGCAACAGCAACAAAGGCAATGTCAGACACATGGCCTTTCTTCTCCCCTCCCCATGCGTCTGGAAACCATAATTCTGAGGCCTTTGCTGTAAAAACAGTAGAGGAAGTTTTGTTTGGCCTGACTCGGGTGCTTGGTTAATTGGCCGACCGCAGTCTTCCCCTCTCTGCATCAGCGTGCTGTGGCAAGAGTGTGGTTAACATGGAGAAGCGGAGTGAAGCCTGCAGGGCCACAACTCTGGGGTCATTGAAAGGAGCCCTGTGAGAGCAGGAGAATGCAAGAAAAGACAAAGAGAGAGAAGCGGGAGAGGTGGAAAGATGGAGGGATGGAAAGTGCAGGCACAGTTCACTGACAGATACAAACCCTTGACAGGAACCAAAGTGTGATTTAGAGTAAATGTTTTACAGATGACCAAAACACTTGAGAATGGGCTGCAGTACTAAACCGTTGCATGCTAATGATATAAGCAGTAAACTGGGAAAAGAAAGTTGTACAGCCAATAGGTACAGCAGTGTTTTGACCGGAGCAAGCATAATGGAGAGCTAATAGCAACTGTTTGCCGAGGTAATGAATGGAAATTGCTTACCTTGCTGCTAAATTAGCAGCGGAAATCTCACTAAGCACTACATTAGTTATTATTCTCTGGTGCTGTAATATGTCCTGGCATTTGTTCTGATCTATTTGCAGCATCTGGAAGAGGTTAAACTTGCTGCTTTTCTTCCAAGTCCTAATATCTTATTAAAAGTAGGATGGAGTAATTGGATCTAACCACAGACTAAAAGTGAATAAAACAATCATAGCCTAGTATAAACAGGTACTGTAAGCTATCTGGGATGTAAAATTCAGTCAGGTGTAAACTGTAAAATTGGGGGGGGCTTTGATGAAGTGGATAACATGCGTAAACATGCCATCATCAATTGCAAAATAATTGATAAGTATATAAGTAAAGCAATGTTTTTATTTTTATTTTGTTCTATTTGTTGTTCTACAAGGTGTCACTTCTGTGACAAAGTTATTTTTCGGTTATTCTTCACCAGATATATCACAAGTTTTCATAGGATGGTTTTCTTTGGAGCTAAGTCATTTTAATACTAAAATAAATGTTCACCTGGGAAAAAGGATGATAAAACAAATCCCTTCATAAAAAGGTGACCAAAGTTCAGCTTGGCAAAACATTGAATCTTTTACTTGCTCTTAGTAAATTGAGGAAAAAGCTGAAATGGATGTGTTTGTATGTTTGACCTTGGCTCCTCTTGCTCCACGCCCTTGTGCGGCTGTGGTGGGCATCTTTATCATGACTGGCATTCCACAGAATGCCAAACCATGACCCTCTGTATGGCACTGCACTCATTCATATCTTATAATAATATACAAAGATTTTTACTATTCTTGGAAAAATAACTTAAGTCCAGTATAGGAAAATTTATTTCAGTGGCTGCCCCTATTGAATTAAGTCCAAATATTAGCTCAAAGCTTAGCATAACATATGACTTATCTTGATATATACATGCTAAGCTACCAAGCTCTTAAGAAAATCACACATATGTCCTCACACACTTAGCTAATATTTGGGCTACTTAAGTGAAAAGGAGGAGGAGGAGAGAAGCAAAGAGGATAGACAGAGAAAGAGATAAATCCCTCAAGGTTGAAGATTCCCTTTCTATAGTTGCGCAAACATGAAGTGTTGAAGTGCTGAGGATGAGCTTTAGCAGATGTGCTCTGAGTGTGCCGTGAAACCTCAAATCTTTCTGTCCCCATCATTTTCCCTATTCTGCTTTAACTCAACTGTTGGATGAACAATTCTATGCCTAAAACAATTATAAACATCGTTTTTATAGCTTCCCATACAAACAACTTGTTGGGCGGTTTCTTAACTTGAGGTCCCCGAAAATCAGTTATGGTGTTCTGTTCCCCATCAGAACTTACACCAGTTTCATTCAAAATAATTTCAAACTTTCTGTTTTTTTTTTTTTGCATTTGCTGTGGAAGTCTGTGTCATGCTAGCCTTGGATTTCATCCTTTCTGCTCTTCATCCCAGTCATTCATAAGGTTAGTTAATTGAGGGCTTGCGTTGTTTGGCATCCCTGAGACACTTTACAGATGCATCTGGGTTCTGTTAAATGGATCTCTCCTTTCTTTGATAGAGCAGCTGGAGAGGTCCATTGGGAAGACCCCTGAACTCGTTATCTGAGACTGAAGAAGAGGAGGATGAGGGAAGGGTGAGGGTAAATGAGGGGAGAGAGGAGCTACATGTGAAATCTCTCAGACCCAAACAAAAGAACAGAATTGTGGAACAAGAAAAAACACATTTTGGACAATTCTGGGCTGATAAAATGTCAAGCAGAGAGCACATATCACTGTGGCATTGTGACCATCCCTGGAAGTCCTGAATGGCAAAGAACCTGTTTTCATAATTCCTGGCAGTGAGACTCAAATATACATAATAGAGCATAGAGCATTATTTTTTATAAAAATTTTCAGTCTAATAAAAGTTTCTTGTTAAAACTGAAAGAATTAGTTTTTTGGGGGAAAAACAATGGGCATATAGTTGTCAAGAAGTGAACAAATCCCTGCTTTCACAATAAAAAATACCATGCTTGAAAGTCATGCTTAAAGCTGAGTATTTTTGAATTAGTTATAATATTATAAATGGTATTCAAATTATCGTGAAGAGGGAGTGAATGATAAAAAGTGAGAAAGATGACTGGGGGTGGACAGAAAGAGTAGGTCAGAAAGGTAAACATGCAATAGCAAACGGTACTGATCCTTCTTTTCGCTTTAGGGAAGCTCTTACAGTAATACCCTGAGACAACTCTCAAGAACCACCTCAAATTGTTTGGTTCAAGAGCTTTTCTGTTTTTTCAAGGCCTTAAGGTTTCGAATGCCCTCCCGGAAGAAATTATCCGTGAGGATCTGCCCTTGTGTACTCTCCAAAATCTCACCTGTTCAAAAGCAGCTCCCTTGTGGAAGAGATCAACATATGGCTATAGCGTGCAATAAAGCTGAAGTGTAATTGATTTTGGTTCAAGCAGCTTCAGTGCAATACAGAAATTATGACTGCAGTTTTAATGCTGTTGCATGCCTCAATGCACCAGTGACTTGCAAAATCTTACTCTGATCGACCTGCAGTTACCTCCCAGTTTGTACTCGGTGCACCCTTTCTGTAGTTACCACCCAACTGTACCTCCAGTCGTCTTCTGCTCTATCACATTGAGGTAATCTAATTTTAGATCTTCACTGCTATCCGCAGCAGGTCTGGTCTTTTCTTCAATTCACATTAATATTTACATTGTGCTCTGAGATATGAGATACCACTCAGGGTAACGAGCAGATGCATCACAAGTTCTGTAGACAACCATGTACTATTTCAGGAAGTTGCATTTGCCAGAACATCTATGTGACTTCATGACTTTAAAATAGGAAACACAATATTGCACCTCAAATTTGTAAGGGCACAGTTGTTTGAATGACATGTAGTGGCTGAGAGAGAGACTGATTGTGTGGCATGTCTGCTCTGTCAGTCATCTGCTGCATTGGGATTGTGATCTCATTCATCCATTCGCTTGTAGCCCAGTCTGGAAACCTAGCCTCTGTTGCCATGGTACCTCAGTCAAGCTGGGCAGGGTGTTGGTTGGTAGTAAAGATTTTGGGAGGCAAAATGACTGGGATGCTGCATCAAAACAGATTGTGTCGATTTACGAGGATGGAGCTTCCTCTGCACTGAGGTTGAAAAGTGTACAAGACACAGATCAAAGCCCCACTCGTCCAACCAAAAGCAGGACACAGCTGATCAAAGCACCGAGACCTGTCAGAGCACTCGCCACACTCGTTTTCTATCACTGGTTCTCCTCATGACAGTCATCCTTCTCGTTTCTTCTCTCCCCCTCACGCTCTCAAACCACAGTTTAAGCAGATATGTTGCAGCAGCAATATAGACTGTCATCTAAAAAACATCCAGTAGTTCAGTCACTGGGTTGGCCGTGTGTGACATGTTAAAACTGTGAGGTTCATTATCCAATGTCAAAGACACATACACAAACCAATTAATCTACTGAATGAAATACCTGATTCTCCTGCACAAGACTCACACACTTTCAAACATACAGTCTATACTCACATAGAGTCCCGCGTGCCGTTCTCCGAAGAAAGGGAAAGCCACAGAGATTGCTACCAGTCCTGAACCCCCATCATCTTGCTCGATGGTCTGGGAGTCACCCTCATCCAGACTAAATGGGTAGAACTCCTGCAGGGGTACAGCCGGCTCCACGCCATGAAGCAAAATGAGAAGCATGCACATGGAGAGCACCAGTCTCCTCAGCCACCCCATGACCTTGTCTGCACAGGGATGGAGAGGAGAGGACTAAGATCCAGGACACTCAGAGAGGGCAACAAGACAACTTTAAACCCCAGTGCCAAATGCTCAACCAATGATCCTCCTTGTCTTTCTTCTCCTTGTTTGGTTTCTAATTCCACCCTTTGTTTCCTCAGATCTTCTCTCAGCCCTGGTACTTGGGCTGTTGGTCTATAACAAGGGGGTAGATTCCTTGCATTCTGTGTGCTGCTGGGTGCTCAAGAGCTGCTGTGCTCCATGCCGCTCACTGAAATGAACAGAGTGAGAGAGAGAAAGAAGGCGAGGGAGCAGAGTGATTCGGCTCTATTTTTTTTTTTTTACAATCCAGTGACTTGGTCCCTGATGATTAGTTTAGAAATATCCTCAATAAAACCTCTATTCTGCCTGCCAAAGGAGTTCTTTCAGACCCAGCCCCCCACCCCCCACCCCAGGGATTCACTACCTTGCATGATTAGGAACTCTCATCCAATAGCTGAGAAGAGACCGGTAACTGGATAAGCACTGGGTGGAGCTATGGTAATCAAAGGGCTGCTTTAAAGAGACTCTGACAGGGCACTCTCCTCTGCTCTCAACTTTTGCTGAGAAATACCCTTCCCCACAGGAACATGTCTCAGTGTGGTACACACTACCACATGGCAGTGTAAGAGTTGGGATGTCATATGATGCATACATAGTGCATTCTTTGTATACTGTACACAAGATGTCTGTTCAAAAGGAGGAAAATATACAAAAACCCTTTGGTTTGAACTAGAGATTTACTGAAAGATTTCTTACTCTCTGAAAATCAATTTCCCCCTAAATTAATCATACAAGGCAAGATTTCAAATATGTGACCCTGGACCACAAAACCAGTCATAAAATAAAAAACCAACATACATTTTTTGAAATTGAGATTTATACATCATATGGGAGCTGAATAAATAAGCTTTCCATTGATGTATGGTTTGTTACAATAGGACAGGGGTAGGCAAGTTCGGTCCTAGAGAGCCGCAGTCCTGCAGAGTTCAGCTCCAACCCTGAAAAAAAAACTCACCTGCCTATAGCCTTAGTAATCCTGAAGACATTGATTAGCTTGTTCAGGGGAGTTTGATTAGGGTTGGAGCTGAACTCTGCAGGACCGAACTTGCCTACCTCTGCAATAGGACAATATTTGGCCGAGATACAACTATTTGAAAATCTGGAATCTGAGGGTGCAAAAAATCAAAATATTGAGAAAATCGCCTTTAAAGTTGTCCAAATGAAGTCCTTAGCAATGCATATTACTAATCAAAAATTAAGTTTGAATATATTTACAGTAGGAAATTTACAAAATAGCTTCATGGAACATGATCTTTACTTAATATCCTAATGATTTTTGGCATAAAAGAAAAATCTAAATTAATTTTTAAAATAAAATGAGATTCTTTTTAACCAGGGGGTCATTAGTGGCGGATATAAAATCTTGGAGGGAGAACATCACAAAGATTATTTTATAGGTAGTTATAGCTTATTTGCACACATAATAAACTACAGCAATTATTCAAAATACACCAAAGCCAACTGACAACAATTCTTTAGACCACAAAAATCAATCTCATTGTTATTTTTCTTGTTTGTATGGTTTTATTGACTCATAAAAATGACTAGTTTTCTAATAGTTATTACATGGAATAGCCTGTAACACAGTAGTGATTATGAATTAGAAATTGTTTTAAAACCCATAATAAGAGAAACACCATATGGAAATATTAATATGAAAACAACATTTATAGATAAGATATATGATTCAATTTTTGTCCTGATTCACTCTAGCGGTAATTTAGCTGATTGGTACTAACTGAAACAAGATGATCTTATTCTCTAAATGGTTGTGTTATTTATATATTATAAATTATAAATTATAAAAATAATGATCATAACAATCATGTCAGTTACAGAGTAGCATAATATGAAAACAACATTTATAGATAAGATATATGATTCAATTTTTGTCCTGATTCACTCTAGCGGTAATTTAGCTGATTGGTACTAACTGAAACAAGATGATCTTATTCTCTAAATGGTTGTGTTATTTATATATTATAAATTATAAATTATAAAAATAATGATCATAGCAATCATGTCAGTTACAGAGTAGCAAGTTATAAAAAAGAAAAGAGAGAATAATTGTGTGGTTTGCTAAACAGTTTAGGGGACCTAGGGTGAAATATTTAATGTAGGTACAGATCTTTAAATGTGTGTGATGTTGAGATTGTGCTTAATGCTAGTGCTGGGCGGTATGACCAAACATTTATATCACGGTATTTTTCTGTCTCCAGGTCCAGCTCTTGCCTGTGGCGAGCCGTCACTTCCAGGAGCCTCTGGGAGTGAGTCTGCTCCAAGATAGAGATCTGTGACTGCAGAGACAACACATAACATCCTGTCACAGACGAATCACATGACTCATTTTTGTATTATTATTAGTGGTGCTTCTTAAAACACTTTTACTACTGCTCACTAAAGTAAATCCCTATATAAATAAATAAACTCCTGACCCTGAGAAGTCATCTTGTTTTACAAAGTTTGGGCTACAGACATGAATATATCTGTATCCGTTTCTATACTTTTCAAAGCAATTCGACTTTAAATGGGCTTGTTTGTTTACTTGGGACCAATAACCAATCACATTTTATTCAGAAAATGAATCTAGCATTAATACAATGCTTAATCTAGCATTAATACATTAATTAGCATTAATACATTATTATTATTATTAATGTAATGCAATATTTTTTCTGTAATCCATCTATCCTTTTTAAACGGCTTATCTGTACAGCCGTGGGGAGTCTATCCCAGCGATTTTAGGGATGAACCCTGGATGAATGATCAATTTATATTATTATGATTAGATTTCAAACGGCGAGGGTACTAGATGCTGATCCATGTATTATAAAATTCATAATATTCGTATGTATCTCTATCACCTGTAGTGTGTGAATTTCGGTCTGTGTCTCACTTAAATCTTGCTCTAGATTTCGGATCTTTTGTTCTTGCTGTTCTCTCTCACGCTCAGCATGCAGTACCTCCACCACCTTCCTTTGGCGATTCTTTTCTACCTGCACACAACACACGCATGCACACAAAATGTATCAACGATCGAAATCTGGTGTGAGATACTGTCACATGCTGTACATTTATGTAGGAGGATCATTTTATGTTTCACTTATACAGACAAGATAGACAAGTCAATAGCAAACACACACAAACACTCCAAAACAAACTCTCATGCAAACGTACCTCAACCAATAATACTAAGAGTAGTTAAGGGTACAGACAAGACACTCTGATTAGTTTGCACAAATGAAAGATCACAGTCTATGACATAAACAACAAACTATTTGAAAGTCATTATGTTTGACTGTGTATGCTATTTATAACAGCATGACATGTACCTTCTCCAGGGTACGCTTTAGAGAGGACCTGTCTTTTTCCAGACGGAGCAGTGTCCTCTCCAGCTCAGCTTTCTCTCCCTGCAGCCGATGTGCAGTGGTCTGCAAAGTAGCCACCTGCTCCTGAAGCTGATCCTTTTCTCCCTGCAAGAGTGCATAGCTCTCTTGCACCTCCTGTTCAGCCTGTTGCCTCTGTCTCACAGCCTAGTGAATTAGAGGAGATGCAGAATAGACACCATCTACATGACTGTCCAGACCAGAACTGGTGTAGATCAACATGGTTTCCTCAGATTAACATGGAAGAGATAACACTGAGTGTCTTTGTGTTTGGTTAAGATACGATGTTGTGTAAGAATTTGACACATTTGGTTGTGTTAATTTTAATTTTGTGTTTTTTTTTTAAGGCACGGAAATTGTTCTACTGAGAGACAGAGGAAAAGGGGCGCACAATGGTGACAAAATGGAAAAAAAGTTCGCCTGAAATGCAAAATGTATTTGTTTGATGCATGTGCCTCCACAGACCAAATTATATTTACAAGGTCACCTAAAAATGAAAATTCTGTCATAAGTTACTCACCTACGTGTCATTCTAAACCCATTAGATTGTGATTCATCTTCAAAACTCACATTTTTTATTTATTTATTAAATTTTTGTTTGAAAAGGGACCATGCTCAATTTTAACATAAATGTTTCCATTTCATGCATTGTACCGAATTTAGCAAATTTTTCATGAAACATCAAATATGTTAAACAGAAGCTCAGCCATACTTGTATGACATATGAGAACCAATGAGGTTTGTTTCGCATGTCAAGCACTCACGTTTGAGCTTCCAATTGCCATATTTGATGTGCTCTATGTATTTGCATTAATCAAAGTTTATATGTAAATAAAAGCACAAATAAAATCTATTCATACAAAGCAATCATGTCTCTTCAGGAGACTTAGATTAAACCACTTGATTCATGTGGATTTCCAAGTTATGGTGTAGTGATCTTTCAATTGAGGGACAGAAATCTCAGGTTTTATTAAAATATCTTCATTTCGAGAGATGAATGAATGAAATGAAATCAACTTTACTGTCCCTAATAGGAAAATTTGGAGTGGATTCCATAGCTAACATCTCAACATCATCTGATACGCCTAAAAAAAAAAAAATATAGAGGGTGAGTAAATGATCACAAAATTTTCATTTTGGATGAACTAACCCTTTAAAACACTGTGTAAACTGTAAGAGTGCATGTGTGTGCGTAACCTCCTGCAGGCCTCGTGTCTGTTTGTCCAGTTCAGAGACCCTGAGTTCAGACTCTTCCTGGCTTCTCTGCAGGATCTGTAGTCTCTCACTCAACCCATGATTTTGCTTCCTACTGTTTGTCAGAGCCTCCCGTGTCTTATCCAACCTTTCCTGCGCACATATACACACACAGACAAGTATGAACAGGCATCACTCCACACATGCATAATCACACACCCACATACAGTTTTAATGAGGAGGCTGTTCTTCTCCTCACTACTACCAGTGTCCTGTCTTCTTATCCTTTTTCCCCACTCTTTCTTTCTTTTTCTCCTCTGGATCACTTTTTATTGGCAAGAGCTGGCAGGTCTCATGCAAACTGAAAAAGATGTACTCTGAGGGTGCAGTGTTTTTGTTTGTACAGCATTTTTAAAACTGACTTACTAAGCCTTAAAAGCCCTCCAGAGGAGCTAAAGAAAATTAATGAGTTCAGTCCTGTGTTTTAATGCACCGTCATCCAGCACCCTGGAAACGTTATGCAACCACAGCATAAATCACTTCACATTGTGGCCATGGTAGTAAGATGATCTGTAGGGTTTCAATTAAAGCCGTACATGAACTG